GGGGTGGGGGTTGGGTAGCCCCGCTGCGGGGGTCCGGGGGTTAAGCCCCTACCCCGGCTCTGGCCCCGGGGATCCCCGCGTGACAACGCTGCCGGTGAGACACGACGACGAACTTTGCGAGGATATTGCAACACATGCTTTTCTCCGCTCGCTGATGTGGCAACATGCTATCCTCTGCTTCTTCATATGTTGGGTTCCTCTCTCTCTCGTTCCCTTTCTTTTTTCGTGTAAATTAGCTGCACTTAAGTGCATGCAATCAGGAGATCGCAACATCACACATGCGACGTACCAGCGTCCATACCCGAACGATCTTGTGAAGCCTTGAGTTCTTGTTGTTCTTACTCTTCGGATTTCTCTTGGGTACCCTTTCTTCCTGCTATCTCCTCAGCGCATGGAATTGCAGGCCAACCAGGCCCCTCTCGTGTCTAAGACGATGTTTCTTTTGGATTTCTTTACAACTTCCTTTCGACAATCCATGCATCTACTTAGGAATTACGCGCGCCTTAGCGAGCGAGCTTGGAAGTTTGTTCAGCGGTTGGAAACTCCGGAACTTACAGGCGCTCTTCCTGCTGACGTGTCCTTTCTTGCAGATGGATATTCCCGCACTCGCCTTTGAAAGATCTACGAAATTTCAGTAGGAAGCTGGATAGACGTAGGATTTTCACGTGCTAAATTTTGCGCGCTGATATTGCATTTGATTTTTTTTCAATCTTGAAGTAGCTTTAGAACGAGAATGGATGGAACATAATTGTTTCGGCACCTTTTTCTTTTCTGCACCGGCGCCATGCATACAAGCTTTCCCCGCTTCCCGCTGGGACCCATGCCATCTTTACCCTCCTCCTCTTCGCGCCTTCTCTCCTTCACCCGTAACTGTTTTCCATCCCCTCTCCTCTCGTGCTTCGCCCTTACTCCTCGTCTGAATCGTGGTCCAGCTCCGCTCTACTTTTGCGCTCTCCTCCTTCCCGCCTTCATCCCCATACCGAAACTCCTTACCGATCCACCTCAAAGTATTCAAAGTCGTCAGGCGACATCGTGTAAGAAGGATACTTCCTGCATGCTGTGATCTGATTGGCTGCAAAGAAACTCGCGGGGATCGATATGGATTTCCCTGGGCTATTAACCCAAACTCCCTCCTCACCCCCTCCTATCTCCACAACACTCTCGTCCATCTTCTCTTCCCCTCTTCGCAACTATAAAACCCCCAGGCGCGTCCGAAAATCTCTCTCTGAACCCATCTGCCAGCTTCCGGGAAGTCGTGGCTAGGTGATGTTTAAGTAGCGAGTCAGAAAGTCCTGACGAGACGACTGCAGTGTATGTAGGACTGTGCGTCGGGTGGCCGCGATGAACCGCAGGATCTGGGCAAGTGTGTAAAGGTTGAGTTGGAGGGGTGACGATCGCTGTGGTTTGGAGGTTGCTACGTGGTGGACGGGATCGTCGGTACCTGAGTGAGAAGAGTGTGTGTGTACGAGTGGTTGCATGGCCAGGTATCGCTGTGCCCAATCCTGGCCCTGTCTAAGGAGGGAGCATAAACATCTCTGGACATCCTGTTCAGTCCTGGTATCGCTGTGCCCAATCCTGGCCCTGTCTAAGGAGGGCGCATAAACATCTCTGGACATCCTGTTCAGTCCATGTATCGCTGTGCCCAATCTTGTGCCCATAGCTGGGCGCGGGTGTGCCGTCTCATGCCTGCCTCCTTGGTTGGGTCGTATCATATGTAGACGTCCCTCTACACTATTTTGATGGGGCCTGATAAGATCGAGGTTGTGGCCTGTACTCCTGGCGGTAGAGATTCTACAATGTAGGATTCTAATTGTATTTGCAGAATTTCTACCGCGGCTTCAGATTGACTGTTTCGTGGTTCCGCCCAAAAAGATGACCAACCCTGTAGCGTGACGCTCCCCTGCTTGCTGTTACTTTTCGGGAGTAGGCGCACTTCCCATTTCTCATTTGTCTTCCGGATCGGGATGATCAGCATGGCCTCCTGTGACAACGGCCCAGAATCACGGCCCATCTCGACTAGCTGTATGAGTTTTCTTTTCCACACCAGGTCCAGTGGTGCGTTCTCATCCGGGTCTGGAGGGTCCGGGCCCGGGGACGGGGCTGGTTGTTGCAGTTTCGGGGGGTCTTGTGTCTTTTGATTCTGTTGTTTTTCTGTCTCGGCATCGACCCCATCCTGCTCTGATTCTTTTGCTACTTTGTGGGGTGGTTGGAATCTCGTGAAGACAATTGTCGTTAATCTGTGCCACGCTTCCGTCCAACTCACCCCAGGTTGCAGTCCCTTCTCCAACACGTTTTTAAGCGAGGTGCTTGTGTCGAGCATGGGGAAGAGTTCTAAGTATGTCTTATCCCAGAATTTGTAGGTGAGGGGGCCATGTTTTGCTTTCAGGTTTCCCATCAGCCACTCTGCAATGGCAACTAGTTTTTGTTCCGTGGGTAGGTGCTGTGGCGGTGCCCCATCCTCTTCGTCTTCTAGTTCCTATCCTGAATCTAGGCCCTCGGGGGATGTGCTAGCATTGGCTGGGAGGGGGTCTATGTCCATCGGTTCTGAGTCAAAAGCTGCGTGGAAGGGGTCGGTGTCAGTCATCTGCCCCGCTTGCAGGTGTCTTTCTGTTGCCCGCTTGCATTGTTCCAAATTCTCGTCCTCTGCAGCTCTGGTTCTACCTCCATCTCCCTTACCTCCGCCTGCCCCTCCAGCTGTGTGTCCAATCTCTCTTGTCCCAACTGATTGGGGGGGATGCTTGTGATCTCTTGTGTTGTTGTTTCCCCTTTAGTGGTGTTCTCCTTTGCCACTTCGGTTCTGCTCTGTTGTATCTGCCCGGGGGGGGTAAGGTGTTCCTTTTGGACTTTTGTTCCTTTGCGTTTTCTTTTTCCGGGAGATACTGTCCCGCCGTAAGGCCTAGAGTGTCTCGGGGGCAGGTATTGTCTTGTCGCGATGGTCCGGGATCCTTCTGTTGTTTTTGCACCCACATTCCTTTTCCAGCTTTCTTTCCCACCGTTTTCCAGCTTGCATTTTTTGTGTTTTCTTGCAGGGGGGTCTCCTGTGTCTCCTGTACCTTCTCCTCCTCCGGTGCCGGGGGGGTCCATGTGTTTGGGGGGCGCGACCCCTAATCTGGTTCCCCTGTTCTCTCCCATTTCCATCCAATTGTCGTGCCTTCCTTTGTGCGATCCTCGATGTATACCCATCCCTCATGTCCCAGGTCCACCGTTCTCCAATGGGTTATTTTGACCGGGTCTCTCTGCAGTCTCCCAGTTGCTCGAGTTCGTTTTTGCGGATGCGATGGGCAGACGTATTCCGTACTCAGGTGGCCATATGCTTTGCATTTATGGCACCACGGTCTCAGTTTATGC